CCCAGAGTCAGGAGCAGTCTCAGGCACTAGCACCCTAAGCAAGCTCTGTAATTTCACTCCTGACAACGACATGGATGTTTGACAGTGCACCATGGTTGACCAGGAGCTTCCCGGTGCAGGTGTGCTCATGCATCTTACACAAACTGCTTCAATTGCAAACATACTAGCCCTGAATGTCAGAAAGATCTATGTGACACAGAAAAGAAAATAAGTATTTGCACTCTAGTGAGTTTACACTCTCAGCATTTCCTTGTTTTTTTTCCTGTGCCTATTATGTTTGCAGTATTGTAACCCATGTGCATATGTTTTACCATTCACTCTCCCTGAAACCTATGAAGTGGATATGATTAGACCCATTTTCCAGATGGTCAGTTTAGCAACTTTGTTTCCCTGAAGTGGGACAAGGAGGAAGGGATAGGCATAATTTGAACCAGAATCTTTTTACACCAAATTTCATGCTGTTCCTGTCAAAGCTCCATGCTGTTCTCAAACCCAACCCTGTCCCTACATGGGAGCAAGGACAGCTGCCCATGGCACATGGCTGAAGTTGACTATCTCCAAATTGCCTCCCTATCCTGGGTGACCTCATGCTTAAAATTCTTACCATTAAGCTGTCCTTGGGTTCAGCTCTGGCCTCAGACAGTCCCCATTTGAAAGCCTACACCTAACCTATCAAGCATAATAAATTGAGTCATTTTCATATCTGGACAGAAAAAGCAAGAGAACTTGTCAACATCCCCAGAGGGTCAAGTTCTTTGCCCATTCTGCAGTCCCACAGGTGGAAGGAGTCATGGGGATCTCTAGATTTTTATTTCCCCTCTCTTCTCAGATGAAGAGACAAAGGGCCTAGGAAATCTAGTGCCTCTGAGGCCCAAGGAGCAGAGTCCTACTTCCAGCCCAAATTAAACTACACGGAAAGAAGCCCCTTCTCTTTTGCAACATCATTTTTATTTCTTTGTTCTTTCATTCTTCTCCAGCGCTTATTTCTTACGTTACTTTAATTTTAACTTTAAATGGTTATCACTTACAACTATAAGTATACAAGTTAAGTATAAGTATAAAATGGTGTCCACTGATTTTCTTTGTGTGAGATAAAAGATTAAACACAATTTTTTACTTCCTCTCTCTACAAACCTGGCTCTGTCAGAATGATCTGGATTTTTCAGTTTTGGATTATCATTATCGATTTCTTTTTTTTTTAATGTTATTCACTCAACAAATATTTTTTGAAAACCTACTGTATGCACAATGCAAAGTAGTAAGACTACATGATCACCTCACTCAACAAATCCCTAGCCCAAGATATTTGACATTTTTTGCATTCGGCTTTGTAAATACGCTTACTATAATTAGACGTCTCTAAACGCTATTGTTCTGGTTGTTCATGACCATTATATGTCCTTTTTGAATTCAATTTTTTTTAATTTGATCATTTTGACTATTTACAGTACTTCTTGGAGTAATTTTCTCCAGAAAGTCCTCATGGTATGCATCTTGGGAGTGTCTGTGTCTGAGATGCTGAAGGTAAGTGGCAGGCAGCCCTGACCCTGGGTTGGCAGTCCCTGTGCGTGTGCAGGGAGCAGTTAGCCTTGGATGCTGTCTGTCCGCCTGTTCTCACATATGCACTCTGCACTTTGCACTTCGCTCCCTTTTCTGGTCTGGATTTCAGGCACAGACCCCCCGCCCAGCAACCCACCGACTCCCAGCACACTTCCTGTCCTCCTTCCCCCAGATTCACATTCTCCAGCTTGTTCTATGAACTCTAGATTTGCCGGTGCCCTGTCATCAACCAGGCCAGCCACTGCAGGCTCCCGCCCCTTTTGATCTGACTTGTTCTTCTGCCTCTCATCTCTGACAGCAGGACCCAAAGCAGGCAGGGCACACAGCTCTAACGGAAAGGAGCAAAAAGCTTTGAGCTTTGGTGGGGGAGAAAGGTAGGTATGTACATGTGAGTGGGGGCAGGTGGGAGAGGAATATGTGTGGGGTGCATGTATCTGTGGATCCTCCTACCTTCCTATTGGGACTATAAATGGGAAGGGTGATTTTTTGGATGGGGGGGGGGTCCTTGCTCATTCTCAAACAAAAACAGAAAAAGCAACCTTTCCCACACTGTTACATTTCTAAATATAGCAAATGCTAATTTAATAAGCAAGCCAGGTAATGCAGGATGCATGTTCATTTCTCAAGCTAACAAAGAGTTCGGTCCTCTAATAAGCAATATAAAAATTGCATTTTTTCCCATTACATAATTCCACCCAAATTTCTATGCCTCTTTCCCCCCCCCAAAAAAAAAGAGTCATTTCTTTCCATCCATGACTTCAAACTTTCTAGGAATTCTGTCTCCAAATGAAAGTCCTAAGGTAAGCAAGAAATAATATAAAACTGTAAAAAGGGACATAGAAGGCAGGATCTTAAGTGTTCTGGAAAACTTAGTCTTTTCTTTGGTTATAATCTTGATAATTTGAAATCCTATATGTAAAATCAAGAACGACAGATCTGAACATTCCTGTTCTTCTTGCGTGGTCAATTGAAGGTGGACTGTGACCCCTCCCCTCCTCACCTATCCTGCTTTCTTTGCCCTGCGTCCTTCTTTCCTGTTTCACTATCTTATTGGATCCCCATTTGTCAATCTGTGTTGCTCTGTTTTAAAGACTGTCAATCAACCCTCTTTCCTCCTAGAGAAGGCGCAAGGCGCGTGGTTTAAACTGCCTGGTGGGTCAAAGGAGGGAAGGTGGCCAGTCTCACCTGGCCCTCAGATCCCTTTCATGGAGCCAAGATGGAATCTAGATATGAACCACTCATCCAAGCAAAAATGTGAGGAATACCCCTACCCCTCCACCAACAGTAAAACCCGGAGTCCTGCTCACCCATGGAGACACATTCCAAGATACCCCACAGGTGCCTGAAATCCAGGATATACTGTTTTCTCCTCTACATACATACCTATGATAAGGCTTCCTTTATAAATAAGTCACAGCAACAGATTAACAACCATAGCTAGTAATAAAATGGAATAATTATCAGTATATACTGATAAAAGTAATTTAAAACTTGCAAATGGCTTATTTCTGGAATTTCCCACTTGATATTTTTGGACTTAATTGTCCACAAGTAATTGAAACAGAGAAAAACAGAACCGTGGATAAGAGGGCACTGCTATATGTCTGCTAAACACTGGACTCCTGGGGAACATGCTAGACAAACCTTTAGAACACAGTATCTCACGAAAGAAACAGTCTCCCATTAAAATAACACTTGGGATGAACTGTAACTGTCAGGCACTCATCTTGTATCTGCCAATGAGACATAGAGTGTGCAACACACAGTGTACATCCTGATTGGACACACACACGTGTACTCACAAATACACACATAACTGAAAATGCATTACTAAGTAAAAAGGCACAGAATATATAATATACGCATTATATTGGCTGTGTTCTAATTTTTTTTCAAGTCTACCTTATCTCATATTATTAAAAGAAATACTGGTTATAATCCACAAAATTCATTTCATAATCTACTAAACGGGTCTTAGTGAGGAAGACTAAACCTATCTCCAGGGCAACGCAGAAGTCTCCTCTAATGCTTCTCTGCTGGTGGTCATCCCCCTTCTTCTTGAATGCCTTCAGTGAGGGAAACTCACTTCCCACAAGGAAGCATGCTCTCTGGTGAAGCATCTAGCAGTTAAAGATCCTTGCTCACTCCAAAGCTGCAGGTGTGGCTGGGCGGAGCTGGGGATAACAAGAGGTCTGGGACGAGCTGGCAGGAGCTAGGCAGCCTCAGAGAGGGCTGGAAGCACTGTTCCTAACAGCAAGGCAGGGGCTCCGTGAGCTACAGGAGAGGACAGGGCTCTGGGAGGCTCCGGTTCACTTCTGTGGAGCCACAGATCAGAACTGCCCCTTCTGCCTGCCTTCCACTCCAGCACTTTGATCATTTCCACATCTGATGTATGATCTCATTCCCCCTGGCACCCGCCCGTGGGAGAGCTCTCCTCCCCCTAGAGGGGGCCTCAGCCTCCATGGAGACAGATTCCCCCACATTCCCTCCGACCTTCCCACCCACCCATCCCTCAGGGCTCCATCAGGCCACTTCCAGCGTCCCCCAGTAGTGTTCTCTTGTCCCTGGGACACAGAGGCATCCCTGCCTGGGGTAAGCAGACAAGGGCACCCGGAACATGTCTGACCTACCCACCTAAGACTCCCTGGAGACCTGCCCAGCTTCAGGACCATGAGGCTCCCCCACACCTGATCGCATCTTCCTGGGAGAAATAAAACAAAGACAGCACCACCACGTGGGACCGAGCCGGCCACTGGACCTCAAAGCTCCGGGTCCCGGGTCCTGGGCATGAGAAAAGGAAAATGCCTAAACTCCTGGAAGGGTGGGGGTCTGAGCGAGGAGGGAGGGCCAGGGCGTGGCAGGCCTGTGCTCCTGCAGCCTCAGACTTTGAGCCCGCTGGCCCCGCCAGGTAGGATCAGGTTGACCTCAGGGTGGGGCGGGGCCAGGCAGAGGGGATGATCTCATTGCATCCTTAGGACCAGGACGAGAAAGTAAGGTGGTGGAGAGACCAGGAGAAGGATGAAAACGGGAAAGAAAGACCGGGAAAGCCAAAACTGTCAAACACAGGGCAGCTCCAGGCTTGAAAGGGGTCTTCGGGTCAGAAGCAGTTCCAGGGGAGACCAGGTTCCAAGCCAACCCTTTCTCCCTCAGCAACAAAACATTTTAATGCAAAAATAACTCACCAGGGACCTCCCTCCGACACTGCCTCTCTCCTGAGCTCTGGAACAAAAGTGAGGATCCCACCCTGGCCCCTGCCCCTCGCCAAGCACCGTCCCCTGCCTCGCCCTGCTTCCCCCAAGGCTTGACAAAGTTTAAATGACTGAGTGAAACCAAAGGCAACACAAAGGGCCCGGACCCTCGCCTCTCCTCTCCGTGGCTGCTGTTTTGCTTCTTTCTTTTGTTTGAAAACCTCCGACCCTTTGCATCTCATGTCTTCTTACCTGCAGTCCAGTTCGAAGCAAGCGAGCTGCTCTCTCCTCACTCCCTCAATTAGTGGTACCCTGGGCTTCTCTCAACATCAGCACCACTGCTCGCCTCTCGCCATGACATCACCTCCGAGCTCTCTGATTGGCCAGCAGTAGGTTGCTTGGCAATTGGACAGTCTCCTCTGGTGGAGCGGGGATTGCCTGAGCGAGTAACTCTTAGCAGGCCAGGGAGTGGGAGATGATGTCAGACAAAGGGCTGCTTTCCCCACTGCCCGTGGAGCCGGGGAGGCACGGAGTGAGGGTGGCGAGAGGGAAGGGAGGGAGTGGTAGGGGGAAGGTGGGGGGAGGCACAGCCTGCACACTGGGGGAACCATGAATGATTTGGGGAATCTTTAGCTCCTTCAAATCTGGGGGTGAGAGAATATGGAATCTAGAGAAGCAAGAAGACAGAACAGATGAACCCTAAAAATAGCTTCCCAAAAGGCTGGATGCCTGTTTCCAGCTCTGTCAGAAGGCTGGTGGGTTAGGACAGTGACTCACAAGGTGGGAAGGGGCTGCAGAGAGCCCAGGCCTGGAGCTGGCAAGGGCTTCATGCAGGGGTCCCAGGAGAGCAGGGCTTCCCCCTGGCGGCCCTCAGGAGGTGTCAGCCACATCTGTGTTGTGGCTTTTGCTCAGGACCAGCGAGTCCTCACAGCCCACATGACCAGCCTGTGTCTACCAGAGGGAGCCACAGGTAGGAGCCCAGACTAATCTTTACCCTGGAGGTTCCTAAATGTGGTGGGATCCTGGGGGAAGGGGATGGTCATCTACAGTGCCTTCCGTGCCCCCGGGGAACCCAGGGAGCCCCTGATGCAGGAGGCTCAGCTGCTCACTGTCAGCCTGTGGGCAGGAGAGGGCTGGTGCAGCTGGAGGGTTGAGGTGCCCTGCAGAGCAGGACTCCTCCTGGGGGCGCCTCCATGTGACCATCCTCGCTTTCCACCGCCCAACATTCCTCACTCAGTTTTCTTGGGAAGGACTGACTTTCAATTGTGGCAAAACATTCAAAACGTAAGTTTTGCCCTTTTTCCAGTGTGGGGAATCAAACCCAGGGTCTTGCACATGCTAGGAGAGTCCTGTACCACTGAGCCACATCCCACCCCACTGACATTGTTAAGTATCCCATTCATTCAGTGGCACTATATACAATCAGTGTTGTGTGACTGTCACCAACCATCTCCCGAAGTTTTTCATCTCCCCGACATTCATCTGTAACCATTAAAACCGCCCCTTTCTCCCTAACCTCTAATCTACCTTCCAACTCTATTAATCTGCCTGATTCTAAGTATATCATACAAGTGACATCATGTAGTCTTTGTCCTTTTGTGTCGGGATTCTTGCACATGGCTTGATGACTTTGAGGATCATCCCTATGCAGTGTGTTTCAGAATGACATCACCTCACCTCAGTATGACATCATCTCACCTTGGTATGACATCACCTCCCGTCAATGTCATCATCCTCACCCTCAACCACCACACCTCTGGTCACTGAGACTGCACATAATGATTAAAGGTTACCTTGAACTCAGCCCATGCTTTGACATCCTTTTTCTAACTACAACAGCATTGTTGAGGATCTGAAGGTGGCCTGCTGAATGTAGAGGACGTGTGGAATGTTTGCTCTGCGGAGACCCCAGCCTGCTTCCCACAGCTGGAGCCCAGGCCCTGCGAGCTTCTGCAGGGGGGCCCACGTGGACATATGTCTCCCAAGACGACTCCTCATCAGGACTCAAGGACGCTTGTCAGGGGACCTGGGGGTGTCAGAATGACCGACAGCCCTGCCTGACTGTGGGGTTTGCAGCGCATGCAGCTATCCTCTCCTGAACTCTCCCCACCGGCTGCAGGGACAGCAGGAGAGACGTCATTCTGCTCCACATTCAGTGAGTGTCCTTGAACAACACACTCTCCATGCGTTGTCACAGGCCACCACCCAGGACCCTCAGGCCAAGCTGGCCCATGTCAGAGGGAACTGAAGCGCCTGAGGGTAGCAGAAGCATTTCCTTCAGGGTGTGGAGGCAATAGAGGCTGCACTGCATGCCAAGCCGGGATCTGGAATCCAAGCAAACCTCAAATGCACGTCTGTCCTGGCTGTCAGGAGCCCTCTCTCCTTCCCCACCTGCCTCTCCTCCCGGCCCTGAGGAGCTGGACTCCACAGATCTGCTGGCTCTGAAAAGTGAGGGAGGGGGAGCGGAGACAGGGGGTTGCCATGGTGATGGCAGCCAATAAGAGATCCTCTGCTGCCAGGGAGGGAGGCACCGGGTGGAGCCCCCCATCCTGACTGGGAAGGAGGGTGGGGTGGGGACAGTGGGGGTGAAGGGGAGCAGGACATCACTGCCCGAGAGCAGAGACCAAGGGGGAAAGAGGAGAGGTGGGGAGGGCTGCTCCATTTCTCTCTAGCTGCTGTTTGAGTGCTAGGTTGTGGTGGGAAACACACACACACACACACACACAATCTGTACAGGGAGCATCTACCCCATTTATAACAAATAGACGCTCTGCAAACAACCTCACCTGTTAAGGGTGAGGCCTCAATTTGAATGTTGGGGCTGAGAAGGGAAAATAATATTGGAAAGAGAGGGAGTGAGGGGTGGGCAGAGCTACTGCCTGGACATCTTCCCAGTGGGAGGAGAGTCCTGGGGCTTCCTGGGGTGAGGCAAAGTCACCTGCAGCAGTGATGAATAGAAAAGCGCACAGTTAGTAGGAAACGGGACAGGCATCGAGTCCAAAGGAAAGGGGTGAGGAGAGACCAAAGGAATCAGCGAGGTCAAAGCTAGGAAGCTTGGAAGGGTGGCACTGAGACCAGGGACGGAGGAGAGGCTGGGCAGGGGCTGAGCTCGTCACAGCTGGTGCTCAGAGCTCCCAGGAGCCTTGCTGAAGAAGAGACTGTCCCTGCACCTGCCGAGTCAGTGTTGGGTGGGGTGGGTAGGTGTTTAATGGTCAGTGTTGGGTGGGGTGGGTGGGTGGTGATTGGTTCCCTAGGTGCAGCCTCTGGACCTCAGTCAAGGTGCAGGGGCCCCCCAGACACGCAGATCCACGCCCCTGCCTCTGCGCAGACTCTCACAGCTCCTTCCACCTCAGGCTGCACTGTGACAACAACATTCAGACCCTGACTCTCCACACACTGCCAGGCTGCACCATGGGGACCAGATTCATTTATCTCTAGCCAAGAATCCAAGGGCAGCCACTGCCCAATGACCTGATCACCCTGTAATCACACCCTTGCAGCCACTGAGGCACTAGGAGCACCCCATCCCCAAAGGGACCCCTGCCTGTGACCCAGGTAGTTCTACTGAAGACCAATTGGATAGTCTCCCTGGGGACGTTCACGGAGCCTCTGACCTCTTTCTAACCCTCAGAAAATGGGGTGTTTGCCTCACTTCAGAAGACCTGATCAACACACGTGTGTCCGTATCACCTGCACCAGTGCGATTTGTAAAAACATATAACATAAATGGGTGTTTATTTTCTGCCTTTACTTTAGGAGGAGACAAAGGTTTAGGGGATTTATGTAGAATTAGTTGAACTGACAATTCTCAGGAATTTACTTAACACTAAGGAAAAACATGTACGCATGACGTCACTTTTTAAAACGTGAATGCTTATTTCACTGACTCAGAAGCCCCTACGACGCCAGTGGCTTACATTTCTCTCAGTAAATTGAGACACAAATAAATGCAGTCAATTAGAATTTAAGCAATGTGTATTGTCCGTGCTGTTTGTTTATGCCAACGATTAGATTTGTAAACTAAATTGCATTGGCAGATAATGTTTATAACAAAATATACTCTGTTTAGAAAAACAAAACATTTATCAACTAAGTTAAGACCTGGATGTCACTAGAGAACAGTGCCTGGCACAACTACAGGCTTAATAAATGTCAGCCATTATTGTGATTGTCATTAAGTACAACACAGACTACCCATAAGTCTCAGTCGTGCAAGTAGCAGAAGCCCATTTCAAATTTGTTTTTTTTCTAAGAAAAGTTTATATTAAAATTTAACAGTAAAACATTTAAAAATACACAATCCTATTAGAAAATGGACAGTGGATATGAAGAGAGGTTTTATCAATGAGAATATACAGAGAGCATATACACACATGAGAAGGTATTCAACAACACGCTAGTAAGGGAAATACAAGTGTAAGTCTCTGGGAGCAATCACAACATACTTATTAAAAGAGTAAAATAAAAATAGTTGCAACACCAAATGCTAGTGAGCGTGCAGAGAAACTAGATCAGTGAGACGTTGCTGGAGGGAGTGGAAAATGGTACTCCAGAAAACAGTTTGGCAGATTTAACACACACTTACTAGATGTGTTTGTCAGCTTTTCATTGCACTGACAAAATACCTGAGATAACTTAAAAGAATGAAAGGTTTACTTTGGCTCATGGTTTCAAAAGGATTCCATCCATGGTTGGCTGGCCCCATCCTCTCTGGGCATGTGGTGAAGTGGATCATCATGGCGCAGGGCCAGGATGGAGCAGAGCTGCTTACCTCCCCGCAGCAGCTGGGAAGCAGACAGAGTGGGGGTGGGCGGTAAGGTCCAGGGACAAAATACACCCTTCAAGAGCAGCCCTGGTGACCTGCCTCTTCCAGTTAGGCCCCACCTCCCAACATTTCCTCTACCTTCCAATAATGCCACCAGCTGGGGACCAAGCCTTCTACACAGGAAGCTTTGGAGGACATCTCAGATCCAAACCGCAACACCAGGGGACCAGGCAATTGCTCTCCTCAGCATTGTTCCCGGGGAAATGAAAACTCATATCCACACAAAAATCTGTGTACAAATGTTAGAGCAGTTTTATTCATAATAGCCCCAAACAGGAAATAATCAAGAAAGACCTCAAGGGGTGAACGGCTACACAAACCAGTAGATCCACACCACGGATACTTACTGATGGGCCTTAAAAAGGAAGAGACTCCTGATGCAGTGACTTGAATGATCTTTGGGAATTATGCCGGGGGTGGGGGGAGGACGGCCTGTCTCAAAGGGTTACAAGCTATTTGATTCCATGGACAGAACAGTCACAAAAAGACCAGATGACAGA